TGTCACCCATTTTGGCATTTTTCACAACCTATTTAGGTACCTATTTAAGAGTTTTTACAATCAAAAATCCGATCCCTATTAAAAACTCAACTACAGTGGCGGAAATTTACTTAGGGAAAGGGTAAACTCCATGTAATTCCGTTCATTTTTATCCGATCTGGCAGATCTAAATTTTAAAAAATAGCTTAATTCCTATCTCAGTTTACATGTTTCAGCGTTTTTAAAAATTCTGATAATTTCGAAAACTTTTCGACCGGTCTAACAGGTACTACATTTTCGACTTTTCGGAGAAATTTTTTGAAGTCTGTAAATTTTATAGGTGATTCTCCCAAAGATTCTGAATACAATGCTAAAAACCGCATCCAAATCGGTCGAGATTCGACCGAGTTATGAATTTTTGAAAATCGAAAAAACACCCATTTTTTGCAAAAAAATCGACAAAAATGGCAAAAATGGGTGTTTTTTCGATTTTCAAAAATTCATAACTCTGTAGAATTTCGACCGATTTGGATGCGGTTTTTAGCATTGTATTCAGAATCTTTGGAAGAATCACCTATAAAATTTACAGACTTCAAAAAATTTCTCCGAAAAGTCGAAAATGTAGTACCTGTTAGACCGGTCGAAAAGTTTTCGAAATTATCAGAATTTTGAAAAACGCTGAAACATGTAAACTGAGATAGGAATTAAGCTATTTTTTAAAATTTAGATCTGCCAGATCGGATAAAAATGAACGGAATTACATGGAGTTTACCCTTTCCCTAAGTAAATTTCCGCCACTGTAGATGGCTTAAAAGAATGGTAAAAAATAATTTTAAAAAAATGTATTTTTAGAGTGTTCCTGTTAAAAGGCCTCCTCCAACTATTCTTATGTGGAATAAAATTTTTGGCGCTTCTTTAGCAGAAAGCTTGCTTCAATATAAAAATGATGGACAATGTTTTTATAAATGCATTTATACAGATAATCGTTCTCTGTATGTTTTGGTCTTATAATTTAGGAATACCAAACGGAGCGGAAATATCTATTTGAATTAAAGGTCATTTGAAAGAACTCGTAGAGCTGAGTCGAATGACACCAAATTCAGTCTGATTCGACGATTTTGAATAAAATTATGACCTACTGAATCTTCTCTGGAGGGCTAGGCCGGAAAACGGTAAAAAGGTATAGGTTTATGCTACTAGTGAAGAACCCAGCAATATAGTTTACATTGACCATTTTGAGCCTGAGCTTTTTTAAGCTCAAGATTTAGACCTCGAGCTTATTTTTATTTTGCTCGACTCAGCTCGAAGAGCTCTTTCGAATGACATATAATTTAACAATACCAAAGACTTATATTTTTGAAATTTACGAAGCACAAGAGACCCAACTCCTTCGTTCATTTATCCTTAAAAACTTTTAAATTAAAAAACTCAGAGAACAAACAGCTTCAATATTAGTTTTCCATATTCGTGATAATCTTGATAAAATGCCAGAACATCGAACCCCTCAACAACTTTACACATTTTTTATTCTTGAATCTCCGCAGCATACTTGGGGACTAGGAAGGACAGTTCCTCCCGACTTTTTTAATATTTCAATGACTTATAGAGCAGATAGTGATGTATATTATCCTTATGATATGTTTGAGGAATATACTAAAAAAGATTTGGAAAGTGGATTAGTTACATATGATCAGATTTGGACTGAGAATGAGGTGAATAATTGATAAAATAATTTGTTTATTTTTTAAAGAAAATAAGGCTATAGTACAGGGTTTCGATATCTGCGGATTTTTCCTCATTTTGTGGTTTTTTGATATGTCAATGAGGATTATTTTTAAAAATGCGGATTTGCGGATTTTTGTGGTCTTTTGAAGATAATGAGTATTTTTCATATTTTCTTGTAGTTTTTAGGATAAAATACAATTATCTTTCTGCTAAGACCTTCAAAATCCTCAAATTTTTCGCCTGCGGCGCTGAAAATGGAAGACTCTGGCTTTTGGCCTTCTAAAATCCCCAAAATTTCCGCCTGCGGCGCAAAAAGGAAGGAATCTATATCCTGGATCTTCCAAAATCCTCAAAAATTTTTTTGCCTGGCCTGAAAATGAAGGATTTTTGGCTTAATCATCTTCCAAAATTCAAAAAATTTTCGCCTGCGGCGCTAAAAAAAGAAGAAATAAAAAATTTTTGACATCTTCGGCGACAAAAATTCAAGTGTAATTTTAAATTTAATTGTTCGGATTTTCATAGGATAATGATTAGTGACAAAAAATTGCTTAATTCAATTGTTGGAGTTAAAAAATATAACATATAAAGTGATTTTAATATAATTTTTGTGTTTAAAATTTTTTGCGGATTTTTGTTATAAAATGCGGATTTTTTAGATCATTATTGCGGATTTTTAAAAATTCGAGATCGAAACCCTGCTATAGTATAAGGCCCCCGGAGCCTTATTATCCGTCCTCGCAGTTCGAATTCCCCGCAACCCCTGTTCCACGTAGAATCGATCCCCGCCCCGTAGAGCCCTAGTTACTACGAACAAAAAAGCAACCATTGACTCCCGCGATACGCGTTTTGCACAAGCTTCTTGCTGACTCCAATATGTATACTTGGTTATACATATTTCTGTATCGCAACTTTGTCCAAACTTGTTTCGACTCAGTGTGTCATTCAACTATACTGCACTACATATATCCGAAAATATTTGTTTTTCAAGATTGATAAGAAAATAAAAGCAAAGGATAAACTTGCTTTACAAATTGTTTCAAATTGCAATACAAAATCGCTTCGTGAAAAATATGTTAATAAATTGAAAGATTTAATACAAATAACTCAAATTGGTACTTGTTCTGATGGAATACTAGCAATCCTGAAGAATTGGGGAGTTAAACCATTAAAAATTATTTTTTTCTAAAAATCATTTTATCTGGTTTAGGATAATATCAATTTCTTCATGTTTTTCTTCCAAACAGTTGTCTCAATTTGAACCTATTACCCACATATAATTACCCTCTCTCGAATGATTACCCTCTTCAGCGAGAGGTCGAAACAATAATTACCCAGGGTAATTATTCGAGCATATATCAATTAACAGTATATCAATTAATAGGCAAAATGTCCTGTCTGACAAAATCTGATGTAAAATTTGTGATAAGCATTGTCAATTATCTATATAAAATGATTTTGAGAAGAAAAGAATAATTTTTAAGGTGACTCCCTAATTTTACAGGATTACCGGAAAACGAGCATGTAATGAAGATTGTGCAGATAAATTAATTGGTTGGTAAGTTTATTAAAAATATTTTGGCTCTAGTTTAGGAGAGAAAATTTGAAATTTTTTTTTAATTTCAAAAAAATATAAATCTCATGAAATTTCAAGCGTCCCATCAAGGTATAAGCATCCCATTGTTTATGGAAACTTTTAAATTAGAGGGGTTTTCATGATTGGTTTTAAAACAATAAATTTTGATATTTCATACCAAAAATGTTAACAATTTTTACAAAATTTTAAAAATCGAAACTGAAAATATTATGAAAATGAGTGATTTTTAAAAATATTTCCTTAAAATAAAACCGGCATTTAATTAAAAAACTTTAAACTTAAGTTTACAAATTTAAATTTTTAAGATTCTCATCATTTTTATTTTGCCTTTGAAAATTCTGTTTGTGTTAATTATGTAACAGAAAAATTTTGGAGACTTAAAAGCTTAATTGTGCCTGTAGTTTTATCAAGAAAAATATTTGAAGGATTAAATATCCCAAATGATTCATTTATTGCAGCAGATGATTTTAAAAGTCCAAAAGATTTGGCATCTTTTTTAGAAAAATTAGCAGCAGATAAAGAACGATATAAAAGGTCCAAAATGGAGTAATAAGAAAATTATTAATCTTTAACATTATTAGAGAGTGGGGAATTATTCGAGGGTAGGGAATTAATCGAGTAAATACGGTATACTTACTTTATTTACTTACCGTATACTTACCGTATTTACTCGATTAATTCCCTACCCTCGAATAATTCCCCACCACCTAATAATTCCCCATGCCACGGATGGGTTGAAAAAATAATTCCTCGGGGGAATTAATCGAGTAAATACGGTAGATTGGAACATAAATAATAAGCCCCATTGAGTTAAACGGATTAAATAACTATTAAAATTCAACAAGATTTATAAGAGTACAAATTTTTTTGCCTATTTTCTGGTGAAAAATCAGAATCATAGAAAAAATTTTCGAGAGTGGGAAAAATCCAAAAATTTGTATTTTTGAAGTTAGGCAACTTCTGAGTGATTTTTCGGTAATATTTCGGCAAAAACATGATGAGCTCTTTCGAATGTATATAATCTGTCTTAGAAAATGGAAAAAAATAGAACAGAAAAAGGAGGGGGGAAAGGAGGAAAAAACTGTGTAGCCAAAAACTGCCTAGCCAAAAAACTGTCTAGTAAATGAGTTATAAATAATTGATACCTTAATAAAATCCATTTTCTTGTAGTATAACAAAACTACCATTGGCTCTTCGATCAGTCAATATTTTAAGGTCCTAGAGGAAGATTTCGATCGTAAACATAATATGGTCCAAAAATAAATTTTGAATATGGTTCGGGAAATAGGCTGTAACTTTTTTATACTCGATAGTAATGCATAGAAATTTGCACAAACGATATCTAACATCCTTATTAATAAAATAAAAAATAAATTAGGTAAATCGGTTAGGAAATAAAAAAGTTATGAATTTTAAACTCAAAGGGGCTAATTAGGTATGTTCAACTTAAATAAATCTCTTTTCAGTTATTTTCGTTGGACAAAAAAATATAAAAAAACAAAGAATACAAACAATATTTCCAATCCTCTTTGTAATCTTTGTAAAATGGCACATATAGACAATAATGAATTAAAAATAAAAAATATTTATGATTTTTGGAATGGAGGGGGGAAATGCCAACATGGATTTGCTTTAAATGTTTTGCTCGGTTAATTTATTTTTTTATTCAAATAATTATTTTTGTCTCATTTTATTTTTGAAATCCAGTGATTATTTTAAATATTTGCTTAATTTTTTGTGATATCAAAAAAATTTTCATTAATTTTTGGAATGGAGGGAGGCAGGGAGGGAATGTCAACAAGGATTTGCTTAAAATGTTTTTCTCCCATAAAATTTTTTTCCGTATAGCTAATGAACCTGAAACTTCCGGCGGGAACGTGGGTCTCATCATTGTGGGTGTCATTGCCGTTGTAGTCCTGTGAGTTTTATACTATTTTTGATTTGGGTTAACAAAATTACATTCAAAATAAAATTATAGGCTTGCTCTTGTTAGTGCCATTGTCTGGTTCTTCGTGCTCCGCAAAAAAGGTGAAGAAGAAAAGGGAATGGAAATGGGAATGACCGCTGCTAGAGGTATGAAGACGAACAAAGTTGGAGCGACTCAAGCAACGATAGGCGAAATGACTACTATTGGAGGAATGCAAGCCAAAACAGGTGGAGCGACACCTGCTGGAGGAGCTACATCGAAAGCTGCCGGGACAACAAAGGGAGGAGCGACATCGAAGCCTGGAGGGGCAACGTCAAAGAAGCATAAGAATGTAATATAAGTGAAGATGACATAATCTCTCCTTTTCCTTTTTATGAAAGTTGGACATATACTTTAAATTGAAAAATTATAACAGGGTATTAATGATTCAAACTTGGGTTGGACATAACCGGTCATCAATCGGTACCCCCAGTTTTCGGTTCCGGTTTATGACTGATCCTCGGTTTTTGGTGAACCAAGACCGGTTTTTGATTAAATTTTTCAAAAGGTTATCCTATTTTTTGAAAAAAGGTGGCCGTATACTTTTGTTGAATAGTGTATTTAATCTCATTCAAGCCATCTTCTTTTCTCCTCACGCCTGCCATCTTCCACTTCTCATTTGTTTCACCGGTCAGTAGGGGTATATAGCCGGAGCTCTGAAAAACTCGAGACCAAGACTTCACAATATGACCAAGACCAAAAAACCCCAAGAAAATTCGTGAGTCAAGACTGATAATTTTAAAAATTTTTGAATAGGTATATTTTAAAAAATAGAAAAATTGTAATTTAGTTTGTTTTTATGCAATATACATAAAGCATTTTTATCAATTTTTATAATAACTTTTATCAAAAATCTATCCAAATATAAGTTTAAAATGAACAATGTAAATCTTATTCTAATATTTTTCCCTATTTTATTCCTCATAATAATGGGGGAGTTGTTATTTGGAATGATTGGAATATTAATTGGAATAAGTAATTGGAATATTCAAAATTATTATTGAAAAATGTTAATCCCGAATATATACCTATATAAAGTCATAACGAACCGAATTTTTTTTTCACTAACCGAACCGAATTTTATAGCGAATAAAATGACATTATTCACAAGAGGGGGAATAATAGTGCCCGGCAAAATCATCTTTCAGGGTCCAGAAACCGGATTTTGTTTAAATTGTCCCCAGGCTGACATTGTCACGTGCGTAGCAGGAGTCTCATACTGTTTAAAATTGGATTCATCTCTTTTATCCTCCTCTTTTAGCGATGATTTTGAAAATTTTGTAAAACGATGAAGCCACATTTCTTTCTTTTTTGCGCGAAGGCAAAAATTTTGAAAATTTTCGAAGAAAAAATTTGAAAATTTGTCTCATTACAAGAATTCCTCTATTTACAATAGACCAACTTTTAATAAAAAATAAGTTTATAATAAATAGCTATATGCTTTACAATATTAATTAACAGACAAATGTGTACATACGTTATCACTTTCTTCAAATAATTCAAACTTGCAATAGTTTAGCGACTTTAATTTCACAAATTGTCGAAGAATTATATCCCTTCATTGTAGGCTTTTCCCAGCCTCCAAAAGGATAACCATATTCATTATAATCTTCAAAATTGTTTTTACCATCCTTATGAGAATAAAAAAGTGGAGTATTGTTATATTTTCTAGTATTTCCTGTAATTTCGTGCCAATTATATTTATCTGTGTAAAATCCAAATGGCTGGTTTCTTTCTTTTAGAGTGCTGACCATTTCCTTAAAATTACTTTTCTAACAAGTGACACTCACGAACTATTTTTAAAAATTTCGTAATTATATTTTGCACTATCGTTTAGAACAAGGTCGATTCTAATTTTTGGCTTTTTGGCCCTGAACCTCAAAATGAAAAGTTATATTTGATCAAAGTTTGAACGTTTGGGTCGCATTTCTTATTAAAGAAAAAAGGAGACCGCAATTCTTCTTTGGGTATTGAAAATTTAGTCACTGGAAAGTTATTTTCGGAATTTTGGGCTCTACGTGAAAAAAGCGCAATATTAGGCTTTAAAATTTTGGGATCCGCTGGAATTTTGGGCTCTAAGGGAAAGAAGTCAATGAATACATATAATTCAAAAATAACAGCTTTATCCTGGTCAAGCTAAAACGCGGAACGGACAAAACACGGATTTACCAAAACACGGAACGGCCAAAAGGCGAAACTACCAAAACACGGTCCATAAATATAATAATTCATAAAGCGGTTGATCCCGTTCCTCAGTGCCTCGTTGTTTAGTTGATGTTATACGCGAAGTCGCGCATGCCGCAGCAATGTGTGGACTCCGCAGAGTATAGAAATAGGTTAATCGCACGCAGTAGGGTAATATAGGGAGAGCTCTTCCCTATAAGACTCGATGGATTGGCCGGCCGGCAGCTTTGTTGAATGAATTAAGAAGTGATCTGACTTTGCCTATTCTGACTTTGTCACCCGTTTTATCGGAAGTACAGATTTTAAGGAAAGAAAGTTTTAAAAAATACATGATTGTGCAATAAAGAGGACATGTTTTTTTATTTTTCTGTTGGATTTTCCAGAGTAGGCGGCTTAGAGCCGGGATTCTTTAAGAGAGACTACTGAGGCAACTACTACCTACGAAGCAATTCGAGTTCTGGTTCAATTATCAAATAAATTTAAAAAATCCTTACATCAATGAACTCAATATTTTCAGTTTTGTTATCTTTATTCCATCCACTAAATTTTACACAGTTAATTAAACCATGAATAGCTAGCCAAACCCTTCCAACTTTTGCATTATTTTTATCTAAATGATCGAGGACGTTTGCAATAGATTTTCTAAGATAAATATGTAGAATAATTAATTAAAATACGATCCATTGTACTAAAACGTAATTTGGACTAACTCGGAGTCCAAAGTAATTGGCGATTAACATATTTAATCTGTGACTAAAACTCCCGACTCGGGAAAATTTCCCGAGTTTTTGGCCTCCCGACTCCCGTTTCCCGAGTTTTTTCTTCCCCCGAACATCACTAATACATATTTATTTATGTATTTACAAATTTACCTAGCATCTCCACAAATTTCATACTTATAAGAAGGCCTAACACAAGGAGTAATATAAATATCAACATTTCCAATCCCTGCAGTTCTAGCATTTATTATATTTAATTCTGCATTTAAATCAACTCTTCCTGAATCATAATAATTAGCTGAAACAATAACAAATTCTTTATAATTTTCTTTTAAACATTTAAATGTTGAAACTCTAAATATTTTATCATTTAAAAAGTAATTCTTAAGGAATGTATAAAAATACTCGTTACCTATACCAAGTTTCCCATATTTTAACTCCTTCACTTGTCTCGACATTTTTAAAAATTGTAAAAAATAAAATGGACTTGAATATAATCAAAAAATAAATATTGCTCATTCTGAATTTTTTTTACTTTTATTTTATTTACAAATAAAAACAAAGTTTATTTTTATTATTCTATTTATGCTCATTTCTAATAAAATGCTTTACATCATTTTATTATTACCAGAAACACGCATAGCGAACTGAAACCGCGATGGAAAGTAAAATGATTAATTTGTAAAATATTTTTGTAATGCTAAAGTTGAATGTTTTACAAAATTAAATAGAAAAAAATAAAACTTCCATCCAAGCTTTAATCAGGATAGAAGACCTGAAATTGTAGCTCTAAATCCAATTTCATGCGCCTACGAAGTCGAAAAGAGCTGGGTATTTATGGTCTTCCACAGGTACACGAGAAGGTTATTACATAAAATCATAATCAGAAAATTCCATGATTAAATCAGGCCGAGAACAGAACTGCAAAACGTGAGAATTTTCGGTTCAATTTTTAGCCGACAACTGATTCTTGAAAAGATATCAGCTGATCGACAAATGACGGCACAACACATTGAGACGACTAACAAAATCGAGTTTTGGGAAGCAGAAACGTTTATGAATAGATTTATTTTGTAACAAAAATTTGGAGGAGGTGATTATTTTATAATATGATATTACAAATTGTGAACAATGAAAATATCTAGGTGAGTAATTAATTGTTTGATTGATCAACATCCATTTTTGAAATATAATACTAGTCTGATTTTCAACTTTCCCTAAGTAAATGCCCTCCACGTGAGTCCTCGAATACCGAAAAACCATAGTGGCGATTTGCATATTTTTGGAGTTTAGATATACTATATTTCATCCTAAAAATTTAAATTATTCTAATAATTCTTCCTCCCATCTCCACATATTTTAAGCTCAGAAAGTATCGGGATCATTTTTCCTAAATACTGATACCAATTTTATGTCGGAATACCGATACTAGCCAACTTTTTTTTGTTTGTTACAATTTTTGTGGAGTTTTCTTGATGCTGCAATTATGAAAAATAAAGTGGGTTATTATTATATTTAGTTATGAAACACTTGTTTCTGGGAAAATTTTAAAAAGAATTAATGTATATGTACATAATTGTGAAAAAAAGCAAATAGAAAAATTTATCCTTAGTAAAAATTAAAAAAATTTTTTATTTAACTTTTCTAAACTACAAAATATATATTTAAATATAACTAACAATTCTTCATCAATCTCTTCAAAAATTTCAAATTTTCAATAATTTAGCGATTTTAGTTCCACAAATTCTCTTAAAAGTTAATCTCCTGCTTTACTGGTCCTTCAAAAATTCCCGAGCTACAATTTTGAATTTACGCCTAATAATCTTTTTCATCAAATTCTGCATACAATGAGCTCGAATATAATGTTAGATTTTTTATATAAACATAATATAGGTAAGCTATGATTTTTTGTTCAAAGGATATGTAAGCAAAATTTATACAGTAGAGATCGGAAATTTAAAAAAACCTTGATTTTGGTTGCGGACTTTGACCAGATTATTGAACTTGAGTGAAAGAAAATCAAGATTAATGAAAAATGCCTTGATCATGACTATGGATTCAGGTAAATCGAGGCCAATCTCTAGTATACATTACATTAATAATATTTAGTTATCTAAATCTAATTCTAATTTAAATTAAGATAGAGTACAACCCAAGTTGCATCGAACCATACCAGGGTTGCCTAAGTTTGCAGTATCTTAGCCTGCTACATTTAGGATGGGTCTTCCCCTATTTGTGGATGTAATTGTTTTAACTGAGGATTTTTTAGAACCAGTAATGCAGATTACCGTCTCAAAATTATATGCCTTCATTGTAGGCTTTTCCCATCCACCAAAAGGATAACCATATTCATTATAATCGTCAAAATTGTCTTTATTATCGTTATTATAATACAAAAGCGGAGTATCGTTATATTTTCTAGTATTTCCTGTAATTTCGTGCCAATTATATTTATTCGTGAAAAATCCAAAAGTCTGGTTTCTTTCGTTTAAAGTTGTGACCATAGTCTTAAAATTTGTTAATAAAGTCAGACTTGCACAAGGACAGTATTACAGATGATCATTGAAAAGAGGTTAACTGCATTTTACTTGATCAAGTATCTAATTGAAAGGATGCACCCCGTGGCTATTTAGAGAACTTCCGCTATCAGTGTTTTCTTGGCTCTAGACCTTTAGATTTTTTAGAACCAACAGATCACTGTCCATTATCATTAGGTAAACTTAAAAAATCCGTACGTCAATAAACTCAATATTTTCGGTTTTGTTATCTTTATTCCATTTTTCATCCTTTTCACAGCCAGCTAAACCATAAATAAGTAGCCAAACCCTTCCAAATTTTGCATTATTGTTCTCTAAATGATCGAGGACGGCTGTAATAGATTTTCTAAAATAATA